CAGGGCTAGTTAGATAGAAGAGGTAAGCTATCAGAGATCAAAACTATACTTCATTAATTTCTCTTTAAAAGTGATGTGACGTGGTTTCACATGCACACATGCAAATGTTGCTTGTTTGGCTCATACAGGAGGGTGGGTTTATTTTGTATAATTAGACCTAATCTAATTACTTTGTAGGGCATATGCAATGGGCACATTTAATGTGATTTGCAAAGATAAGTCTCCGTGGAAGACTTACAGAAGAATGACTTGATGCTGACTAGAAAGCATTTAGTTTGCTAAGCGTGCACTGCCATAACGAAACAGAAATTCAGGTGGAACAGGGTAGAATTGCTGCAGGTACTTTAAAACCACCAGATCACTTTTCTGATGACTACTATGTAATTAGCAACATAACAGATCTGCCTGCTGGAAGGGGTAAGATGTAAAACTTGTTTCTTATGTCTCTCATGTGACATGGTAAGAACAAACCCTACTGCCTGTGGAGGGAAGACAAGTAATCCGTGTACTTGAACAAAAATGTTGATCAGCCTGCTGACATTTAAATCTCGCTGTTCTTTTTGTTCTTCTTCCCTCCATTTTAAGATCTGCCATCGCTCCTTTTCAGGAGGGTAAGACCCACCAAGGAGCCCCTTGCATGATACAGTGTTGTAAGACTGTGCCTCACTTTATTCTGCAGACCAAACTGAAAACTTGCAACAGCATTGCAGATTAAATAAGAATATTGCCTGAGGTTGAGTTGCTGAGAACTATGCTCTGATTTTTTACTTGGTTATTCTTAACAGGAAAAACAGGCAATTGCAAGTGATAGTTTCAAGACCAAGAGGCATATTCACTCCCAGTGTCAAGGAGCCAATCTGCCTCTTTAAACTCAATGGAAAGAAGTTCCCTCTTCATGGCCAGCCCCCTGAATCATTCCCAGGAGAGGTGGCTGGCACGTACAGCTGCCTGCACCAAATGCTCAGCATTGCACTCTTGTCACTGTCTTCACAAGTATTTCATTTCAAGGGCAAGGGATCAGATCTACTTACATTGACTGCAGCACCTCTGAGGACATGTACTGTTAGTCCTGACAGGAAGGGATTTGTTTCTAGTGTGTTGGTTTTGGCTTGGCCAGATCTTAAGAGGAAGAAAAGGACTTTCCCAGGTGGGAAACTTCCCAAGACATCTCTGAGGAAGTACCGCAATATTCTGGTAACTAGTCAAGATGCCTTAAAAAAAAAAAAAAAATCCCATTTCTTCCTTTCTGAGAGGGTACCCTTTCAATAAGATGGTTGTTCCATGCCATAGCCTCTGCGTTCACCAAGCATTAATTATTATTCATCTCTTAAGTTTCCTTCTAAATCCTCATTTCCATTCGCTTTGCTTGCTCTCTGAATCTCCTATTTGTTACGCAGCTATCTGGCAACTGCCTGCTCAGAACCAAGTGCAGTGTTACCACAGATGTAAGGGATTCCTATGACTCAAACTATATTTCGCTGTGGCTTCACCACTTACTGTCAGTACCTTTCAACTTTAGTTTTCCTGTCTCTTGTATACTAGTAGTTTAGATTTTTCCTTCAGCTGCTGGCTTATATTAGGTCAAATGCAATTAGAGATCTTCTTAAATTGTCTAAATACAACCTATGTTTGTCTTCTTCCACTATTGCCCAGGTAAATATCAAACTACAGTTTCTCTCTATCCTTCTGCATTAGGACATGGGAGGTGGATTACAAACAAAAAGCTTGTTCACTTTCTTGTCAATGTTTCTGACTGCTAACCCTAATCACTGGTACATAAACATCTGACACCTCTTAAATGCCTGTGACAAATGCCTTACTACAAGCCAGATGATCTGTCTTTAGAATCTTCTCAAATTATCTGTAACCATCAACAAAATAAGTACCTTTGCTTGCTAAGGTACATTATTTCCCCAGTCTGCTAGTACATTCCTAGTGCTCTATCACTTATTTGAATAACCATCGGAACTACAGCAAGTCCATTAGCCGATTCCTTTACTGATCAGTACAGCAAATTATCTGGACTCTGTGCTGCAGTAAGCTCACATTTCTCAAATATTTGCTTACTTGCCTTTTATCAGTTACTGCATTACATCCTCATTGATTTTCAACTGTCCCTCATTTCAAGTGGTTTTTTAAATAGATTTCCACCATTTCAGAGTTATCAATCTCACTTCAGTGCTCCTGTATTACTAGGCCTTTTGTATTCCTTTCCCCCTGGACATGTTTGTGAAAGCTCTTCTTTCCTTATCCTTCTGGCTGTTGTTAGTTTATTGTTGTTGATGCCCTTAGCTTTATTCTCAGAGGCTTAAATCTAGTCAGTTGATTATTTACAGTCCATCTTCCTTCATTCAATGTAATGCCAGTCTCTGCTGCATATAGTGGAACTACAGAGCACATGGGTAGTATGACGCTTAGCTTTTAAAACAAAATTGTAATGCTTTCTGAGGCTTGCTTTTTTTTTTTTTAAAAAAAAAAAATGCTATTAGCTCACATTGTGAGATCTCCCCATGCTGCTAGTATCACTTGGAAGAAAAAGGGCAGAGAAAATTCCATTTGTTAGATGCTGGGTTGCTGCTTCTGCTGGGGCAGTGGAGGGTTTTTCTCCCGTGTACGGCCAGTCTCAAGTGCTGCTGTCTGAGGATTAATTCATCATCTGTTGGAAACCAGAACTTCCAATCATTCTTCAAATTAGTTGTTTGTATCACACCGCAGGAATTTCAGTGACTCATAAATCCTGTTATTTCAAAGTGAGGGAAGTACTTGAAAACATCACGGGGAGTTTGAATGTTCAAGCCTATTTCACAGACCAAGTTCTTCTACTAATCAGGACACGTTATACCTCTCTGCTTGGACGTTCACCTCGTGTTTCCCGTTGTCAAATGAAGTACAGTGAGATGTGTGAGTTTGCTGCCACCCTAATTGTGTTTTTATATGCCAGACCATAATGTTATGACTTTCCAGAGAACAGCCCTATACCAAACAAAAAAGCAGCTGCAAAAAGGGAAAGTTAAGAAAATTGAAAGGATTGTAGCTAAAAGGAAGATATTATTTAGTCACCTTTGTACTTGTAAGTAAATTTGTTATCAAGTATACCAAAAGCACAACAGGATGAACAGCAAAAAAAAAAAAAAAAAAAATACAGTGCAAATGCTGGGAGATTGCTTTGATCTACTGACAAATGGCTGCTTATTTTCTGTGGTTTAGTAAGCCTGCTAGAGCAATACTATTCCTTTCTATTCTGTTTTATCCTACCCTACCCTTATCTCTACTTCTGCAGCCAAATACACAGCTTGCTTTTTGCTAAGTCAGTCATATCACACTGCTTTCTGCCATCTTTCTAGCTGCTCAGATTCCCAGTTGGGATGAAACACCAAGTCCTAGTATCTCTGTAATAGTGGGGTGGGGGGCTTTTTGAGGGTGAGATGATCTGATAAAACCCCCACATTTGTTCAAAAAATTTGAACATGATTTTTAAAATTTATTGTAATTTAGGTTGGGAATACCTCCCTTAACCTTTCTATTTCATAATGTCAAGGTCACCTAAGACTTCAAAATTCCCTTCTCACCTTAGGTCCCTGTGGGTTAGAATGATGTTTGAGAACATATAGCCAATGTTCTTTTGGGTACGTACAGTAGATTATTCAGATTTTTCGCTGCCTTAATTTTTGTTTTAAGCAAAAGCACTTCCATTTAAAAAAAGTGCTTGCACACTTTTGAGTCCTGAAAGCTCTTAGTGCAGCTTAGCAGCAACAGTCACAAAAGGGTTTAGTTCATCACTTAAGTTCAAAAGCAAGCTGTTTTAAGCTCTTACATAGCACAGCAGCAGCACTGAGGTAGAGAAGCTCAAAAATCTCGCAGTGACCTTGTGTAAGGATAGTGCTGGCATTTGTCAGAAGTAGCCTATCCTTGGCTGAGAATGTTCCTCTCTTTGTTAGTTAAAGAGGATGAGCATTAGGGAAAAAAAGCACAGGTGACTTCAAAACTATTACTACTTTAAATGTAAGACATAACCATCCACAGTCCTCTAAAGCATGTCATGGGATTCTTAAGGCTATCAACAGGACTTTATTCTGTATCTTTACCTTAAACTATACTCTTGCCATGCTAGAATGCTGCTTTAATATAAATAATAATAGAAATTATAGAAACTTTTTAAAAATATTGTAGCTTTCTGATACAATTGGGTTTCAGAACCATTAAGGCTTCACAAAGGAAATATGGGAAGGGGTAGAGCATGTAATAGAATGACTTCAGGCAATTAGGGAAGTCATCTGACAAGCCACAAACATTTTTTTGTTTGTTAAATATAAACTTTTTACAAAAGTTAAACAATTTCTGTAAAGATGGGGGATTTCTACAACTCCAGTGGTTTAATGGATTTTGGTATGTTCCTCCTTTCCCGTGTCAAAATCTGAGTAACTGGCATAAATGATCCAGAGCTAAAAGAGCCCTGACAGATGCGTGTGTCTTAACTTGTACAAGTCCTAGCACCGCTGCGGAGACCCCCTTCAAAAAAACACGCCTCACAAGCATTACATGGAACTCTGGCCCCATGTATCAGTATTTTGTTTGTGAGTTACAGGAAGCCTGCCCTGGGTCATTAACAACAATAACAAAAACCAGATGCCTTATTTCAGCCACAGAACAATCACCAGAAAAATCCATGTAACATAACGTAGGCAAGTTTCTGGTACATCTACGCCGAGCGCACAGGCTGAGGTAACTGACTCCTGAGTGACAGGAGCACGGAGCCAGGTACCGGTCACAGAGGAGATCTTTACCTCCAGACACAATTGTCAAAGGCTGCACGAACCCTTTAACTGAGGCAAGAGAAGGTGGTCCAACAAGTAGTCTTGCATAGCAACTGTTTTTTTTCCTAGCATTCTTCTCACAGTTGGCTGCAACTACCTCAAAGCACTCTTACTTTTGACAAAGCCTTTTTAATATGTTTTTTGGCCCAGAATTTCACAGTACAGAATATAAAAGGGAACTTTATATTTTAGTTTCATCAGTTTATTCCTTGGAGGTAAAAGGTCCATTCCAAAATAACCAAGATATTCTAAAATACAATGTTCAAATGTTTATACCCGTGAGTTTATTATTACAGAAGACTTAAAGATGAAACAAAAATTAACTCAAAGGGATGCATTTTATTTCATTACTCAACGACAAAATTGTGTAGTCGAGGTATCGAAGAAGTTACCCAAACACATTATTTCAGAATAAACTGAAAAGTCCTAAACTTTTAAAAGTTCTAATGGTGGTGGCTTAAGAGGAATCTTTCCCATCGTAAACCTTTTTGCTTCAAATTGTTTCAACTCTTCAGCTGACAATTCGCTCGTTGGTGTAAATAACTTCCCTGATGTAGTATTGTCTGTGACTGCAGAAGACTCTGATGTGCTGTTATATCCAGAGGCACTGGCAGTCTGTCCAAATAAAGTATTGCTTGAATGGGAGGGAGAAGCTGCTACTGCTGCATTAAAAGCTCCAAAGTCTGTAAGCGGGGCGGTGCTCGAAGAATTCGCAGCAGCAGAATTGCCAAACCCTGAAAACCCAGAAGTTCCAAAACCACTAGCTGTTTCAGAAGTTTTAAAGGAGAAGGAGGCTGCAGATGGAGTCACTGGGCTGCCAAAACCAACAGGATGGAATACGCCAGGAGAGGAGGTCACACCAAACGCAGGAGGATTGCAACCAGCAGAAGAGCTCCCGAAAGCAGGGCGGCTTCCAGAGGATGTGCTGACGAGACTGGAGCTTGTTTTAAAGGAGAAACTGCTAGCACTGCTACTGCTGCTGTTCGCAGGAAAGTCTGCAATTATAAATTTTATAAGAAAGTGTTAGAATGTGCACACCTGTGATACTAAACCACTGCTGTATTTTCAATAATGCAGAAGAAAAAAAAAAAAAAAAACACCTCAAGAAAATGTTTAACTGTTGATTCTTAATGCAGGAACTTACTTGACAACCCAAAGCTCAATGTTTGCTGTTCTCCAAATCCAAAGGCAGGCAATGATTGAGTGACCGTGTTCTTTAATTCAGACAGCTTAAAAAATTCCAAATACATAAATGAGAACTAGATTCCAAAACAGGGAAATATCTTTCAATAAATACTTGAAGCAAAAATAAAGCTTCCCAGTCCGATTTAATACAGATTAAGCTACGTTAGACACGGATCACTTTCATCACAATTGCTTGCTCTTGCAGCCACGAACACAATGCTTTAACATTATTCTCTGTAAAACAGTCCAGAAACACAAATACATTAGAATTTACAGATTTTTGTCTGTCAGTCTGAACACCTCTTCCAGCTTTCCTTCTTCTCTCTTACCTATTTCAGTTAGTGCTTTGTGACTGACCCTAGCTATGTCATTGCTTTGACTTACTCTGTTCTCCCCCTTTGGCACATCTGGCCTTCTGTGCCAAAGCCCAAATCCCACTTCTTCACATTCAGCATTGAACACACCAAGAGGTACGACCATATTACTAAAGCTTTAATGCACTTCATGCAGACTCCACTTAAATCAAACTTACCCTATCTCCATGATCATTTACTACTGTCTTTAACTCAAACCTCCTTTTCTGACACATCTAGAATCACAGGTGTTTGTCACCTTCCCGGGAAAAACTACTCTTTATATCTTCAAATTTTATCCAAGCAGTTTCTGTCCCATCTATCAATTTCTCATTCTGGCATTACTGAACTGCTCTATTTATCCTAAGATGGCCTGGAGGACAACTTTGGTCTCATCTGCTGATTACCTTGGAAGAGTCAACATCAGCACAGGGAAGGAGGGGTGGGGTGGATATTTGCCTCCAACTATACATGCACTTGACTAGATCCCAACCTTGAGCTATGGTTACTGTCACATGGCTAGCAACGACAGCATGCCAAACTTGGGATCCAGCTGCTGCCTTGCTAACGTGGAACCATCCCGATTCACTACTTTCCTTAGTTAACTAGAGGATTTTATAACACCCGCCTGCAATTCACTGATTTCATGATCCCAGAGAAAGGTGGATGTAAGACCCAAAACTATTTCCAGACTTCCATGTTCATTTGTCTCAGGCAGCACTAGAATATTCCGTCCCATTTCCTATTGCCCATAAAAACCACAGAGATGGAGAGATGAGGCAGTTTTCAAACTGCAGTCATTATTCTCTTATGTAACTCCTCCTTATACCCTTTCCACTTTCTCTTATTTTCTCAGGAGCATTCTATTACTGCCAAGGTCTTCACGCAGCCAGTCAACCAAACGCTTTCATGCCAAATGTTTTTCAAGGCTGCAGTGTCAGAACATGTCACATTGTAGTTGAGATTTTCAGAATAGTTCATAGATCTACCATAAAACTGCCAATGAATCTAGGAATCAAACATTTTCATGGCTCAGCTATTTAGGTGCAAACAAGGATGTCCTACGAGAATCATGTGTATTTGTAAAATAGAGTATATCCTGAGACCTTCAAAGCAATACCTACCACCTAGTTATATAAAGTTAGCAGAAGTGTAGTTAAATAGTCTGATAACAGCAAAAGTTTCTATGGAACACTTGTAATATCTCTTCATTAAAAACAAGGTGGCATATTCCAACTATCAGGCCTTACAAATCTTTGTAGCAGAAATTAACGTTGGCATTTGCAGGACAGCTTGGCGGAATGTGTCTAAAAAAACACGAATCCATGAAAAACATTTGCCGAAGAATAATGAAAAAATGACATCAGGAACAGAAATGTTTTAACTTTCATTAAAACTTACCAAAGCTGCTTTTGTTGATGCATTTAAAGTTTTCAACTGAACCAGGCGACTTTTCCATTGTTTTGCTAACTGTTGGACAGAATTTATCTAAAAGGGGGGAAAAGAAAAGCATGGGTTTATTATTGGTGGAGACTTGAGAAAAAAAAAAAAAAAAGAGTTATCTGACAACTAAACTGAAAGATTTCTGGAATTAAAAAAGAAACATCATTAAGCAAAGACGACAAGATTTTTGCTTTCCTTAAACTTCAAGGTGAGAAGCTGAAATTTTTGTTATTAACACAGAATCCCTTCAATTCTCTCACTATTGTCCTTAAAGCAACATTTTTACCTCACATAACAGTAAGATTAAAAAAATGTCCTGGGGCTTTCTAAATCTAAATTCTATCACTATCTGAATTAGGTGCTTGGGAATAAAACCAAAACCAACAAAACCCCAAACTATAACAACAAGCCACACACAAAACACATAGGTTTTCAGTATAAAAGAACAAACTCTTCAATCCTTGTTTTATTTCTGGTTTGTCCACTTATGTGCTCACTCATTAAGCTGAAATCCTAAGGTTTGCTCTAGTTTCTCCCATGTTTTCAGGAAAAAAGAGTCCACTTTCAGAACATTATAATTCAGAACACTTTAACAGTGTTTATCATCCTAAAAGATTTAGCTTTGCAGAAATTAACTTCCTTAATTTAAATCAGTGCCTTTAATGTAATCCAACAAATTACTGCACAGAACATATACAGCAACAAATAGTACCTGCATCTTTCTGATAACTGTGATTAAAATATTACACAAGAAACTGGAAAGCCATTAAATAACTTACTTTACAGGAACTTCAAACCTGAATTTACTATATTTAAGTTCATCTACACACCTTATTTGAAGCCTGGCCTAATTGACTTTTCACTGAAAACTAACCAAGTAAAATACATAGTGTTCCCAACGCCTGCAAGAGGGCAATGAGTAATCTCTTTGTAACTAAATTCCTTAATTTTTCAAAAGGGTCTTACATCACAAACTTCAATAATTCTTTTGTGTCTAGTCACATGCTAGAAGATCATGTTGCTTGGTATCAGCTCTTATGCAACAGACTGGAAAAATTCAGATTTTGTCCCAGTTTAAGAATAGAAACACATGCTTTGGAAAAGACATGTTGTACTTCAACGTTTTGTGAGAGAACTGTATCATACAGTTATCATCTATATACTCAGACTTTCATGAACTTGCATTCAGTGCTTCACTTAGGCCACAAAGCTTTTTAATAGCCAGGCAGTGTTTTGTTTAATCATTTCAGTTTATTTTTTTAATTGAAGGTTTTTCTAAAAAATATCTCTCCCATCTCTGAAAATGCAATTCTGGTAATTCTAAACATGTGAAGGAAGAATGGTGTCAACAGAAATTCCTTCTGCAATACAGAACCAAGGGGAAGAGAAAAAGAGTGCAATGTATCTTGAATTAGTTTGTACTTGTGCCTATCGAACAGCCCGATTCTTTTCCCGGCACACCACTGAACTGTGCCAGCCTCCTTGAGATTGACAGAACTACAAGGGAGGAACAATACATATCAATTTAGAGATACATATCTCTCTCTATAAAGCCATACATATTGCTACTTATTTGCTAGAAATGTATGTACGCCTTTAGAAGTATCTGCTATTTTCAGCATTAATTCCCTGCAGTAAAGGTATGTAAAAGAACAAAGTCAAATAAACTTCCCCAGTGCTCTACCTAAAGTGCTATGCATCCAGCTCTAACCACCAAACTAACAGCATAAAGCATTAAATTTTTGAGACGGGTTCAAATAACTTCTACAAATAACACACCAGAGCAGGAACAACACTAAGACAAGGAGTGTCATGGTTAAGAAAGATCATATGTTTAACTGAGACTAGCTAAGTCTATTGCCACCACTCTTTGTAGGAGCTGATGTGTGTAGACACTTTTTAGGCCACCAGTTTTAGGAGCCCAGATCTGACCGTTTTAGCCTGTGATCTCAGACAGAAATAAGAATTTATGGCAGAGCATACAGGCTAGCAGCTGTTTTTGCATTCTATCTGACACACAGTAATTTAGAAATACTTTGGCATTCTGGTAATCTCCTAGAATTTGGTAATTAACGAGTCAAGAGTTGCCACCTGAGGAACAATAACAAGTTCTATCTCGAAATGCATTCACAGCAAAAGTTAGCATTTTTTAAATACTTACATAGTTCTGGATGTTATTGTTTGCTCTGCAGTTACAATACTCCAAATGCAACTCTTCTGGAGAGAAATCTGAAAATCCTGTAAGGAGAGAAATAATCAAAAGCCTCCAAGAAAATACATTAATACTTCCAATCGCCCTCAGTAATTATGAAGAAATGGGCCTTCTCTGTAACAAGTCAGTCGCAGCTAGAGACACAAAAAGGATTCATTACAGAACTTCAAAGATATGAATGTTCAAAATGAATTTGGCATAACCCAAACCCCTGCAAACGGTTCCACAGAGGTACAACAGTGTGGACAGGTGTAAGAAACATCCTAAATAGCAGCAATATGTGGCACCCCTAAAAACGTTACCTACCCGAGACATTCGGCTTTTCTTTCATCGGCGAATAAGATGAAAATATCCATTGTCCTGAAGATTCCCAAGTTTCCATGTCTTTCACTACACTTTCGCTAGAAAACAACACAAAACCACAGTTGAGGGTGAAGTTATATGGTCAAAAAAAAACCACCGGAAGCAATTGCCTAACTTGAATCCACAGTCAGATTCAAATACCCGCTAGCATGAAAATTAATAAAGGGTGACACGAGTCAGAATGAACAAGTCCTCAGTTCTCTACAGAAACGATGCGCTTAATTGGCAAGATACATAAATGTCCCTTCAAAGCATTTTACTTTATCATCTAACTGCAAGTAAATCAAACCAGATCTTAAAAAAAATGCCAAAACACACAAAGTATTTTTAAATCCCTATATGGCATATGCTGTCACAGGATTTTCCCTAAAGCTGTAGGTCACAATGCAGTTTAAAACCTTCTCGATACTAACTGACTTGACAATATAAATGAATATGCACAGTACTAAATAGCAAAATTCAAAAAGGGAAAAAAAAAAAAAAAAGATCCATATAGGCTTTTGGAAAAGATTCAAAAGCATAAAAATCTAGATATTGCAAAAGCAGAGAAATAGAAGCTACATCAACAAAAGTAAATCTAACTGTAAACAAACGGTGAAAGGGTAAAAACAGAAGTGGACAAGCAGATTACTGTACAGGAACAAGCAAACAGAAATTCTAAGTATTTCAGATGTTTGTAATACACTATACATTCATGTTTGAGAAGCCAAATAAATAATCTGTTAAGCTTTTTCTTAATGTAATCTTAAAAAAATAATGGAAAGTAGTTCCAAAACCTTGCTCCTTTCGGAAATCACACTGCTTGTTGCTTCTCACCACCTGCGCTGTAATCATCTTGAACCTGTTGGGCACTCTCAACTGACTCTAGCACACACACGTGTGAAACCAGGTTTCAATAGTTTTGCTATTGGCAGAACAATTTGTTACCTTATGTATCATAAAACCCACGTCAAAAAGTTCATTTCCTCAAAGAGGTTATTTTTAATGGTTGAAATGCTGCCCAAGGGCCTCTGACCCCTTATTTTCAAGTACTGAAATCTTTGTTTCTTTCCTTATGCTCCTGCCCACAGCTTAAATACCACACCATCTTACTAACATCCCAGCTGTCTAGCTGCCCAGCCCAGGTTCAAAGCAAGGGTCGCTTTCTTCCCTTGACAGCGTAACTCAAGAGAATTAAATGAAGTAGTGTTTTCTATGGTTCTTACTACATGTCTCAGCCTCCTGCTCGTGATCACGGCCTCTGCATTAGCTCTAGTCACTAAGCTTTTGAACTGCTCATTCTAAATGCTTTCAGTGAGACAGGACTACAACTTACAGAAGTCTCTCCTCTTCATCTTTATAGCCATCAGTGATATTCTGACTGCTCGCTAACGCAGAGAATCTGTTCTGTGAAAAGTCTGCATTTCTGCTGCTGCTGCCGGATGATCCAAAATCAGAGGAGCCAAAAAATCCTCTTCCGTGATCTCTGCTGCCACCCCATGTATTAGACTTAAAGGTAGATGGCTGGATAACATTCGTGTATCTCTGGTTAGCAGTACCCCATCCTCCTCCTCCTCCTCTGCTCGTACCTTCCAATTGGAAAAAAAAAAAAAACAAAACAACAAAAAACCCAACAGTCATAAATCATTAAGATAAACCAATGCAACGCCAATGAAAAACTGAAAGTATAACTGTTCTTATGGTGGCAACAAAAAGTTTGAAACGAAAACGTAGGTTTTTTCCTAATAAGCGAACCTGATTTTTTAATAAGCTTAACCTAGTGCGTCACCCAGGGTAGTTCTGGAATCAAAGGTAAATGTGAACTCCTCCCCACATCACGCCAACACCTGGTTGGCACTGCAGAAAAGGGACCATTTCCGTGTTACTTATGTTGTTTCATGAAGTACCTTCCCCAGCAGAAACAAACAAAAAATAAAAAATTAAGCATATAGGCATCAGGGGCTCCCGCCTACCCAGCCACAGCAGCGGCTCTGTTGCACCCTACAGGCCCCCCACGTCAAGTTTCAAGGCCTCGGGTCGCGCCCGTTTGTCACAGGCAAACCCCGACCCTCCCTCAGCAGCCCCCCCCGGCTCCCCGCCACTCCCCCTTGCGCCCCCAGAGCTTCCCAAGACCCGCTCCGGATTAAAACAACGCTCCCAGCGGGGCAACACGCGGGCGCCTGGAACCTGCCGCCTGCTCTTACGGCCGCGAAGCCCCGCGGTTCCTTCCGCAGTTTCCCGTTGCCCCCCCGCCGCCGCGCCCGGGGGTACCTTGGCAGTGGGGCGCCGAGGGCCCGCACCGCCCCCCCCCCCCGCCGCCGCGGGGATGCTCGTTCCAGCACCTCTCGCCGAAGCGGCAGCGGCCCTGCAGGAAGAACTGACAGATGGCCATGGCGGCCGCGCGCCCCGGCGTCCTGACGTCACCGGCGGGCGCCGCGCGGCAGCGGGGGAAGAGGCGGAGCCCCGGCGTCTGACGTCACGGCGAGCCCAACGGCCGCCGCGGCTGTGGCGACTGGGGTTGTGGCGGGGCCCGGCGGGCGGAGGAGGAGCAGCGCCGGCCGGACCGCCTCCCGGAGATGGCCGAGCTTCGGGGCCGGGGAACAGCGCGAGGTAAAAGTCGATGCACAAAAAAAAAAAACCAAAACACCCAAACCAACCCCAAACTACCAGGTTTACGTTAACGGGAGCATCGTCACGTTGCGAAAGTTGCAGCGTTAGGAAAGCGCAGCCGGGCCCGAGGGGGAGCAGCAGCGGACGGCGCCGGCACCCGTGACAAGCTCCTCCGCGCAAGGCCCTTCCTTCTCCGTACTTGCAAGGTTTTCCGGTGGCTTAAAAAGAATTATTAATCCCTTGAAAATAAAGGCAGAAAAAGGCGCTTCACAGTTTTAAAACCAAGTACAAAAAAAAAAAAAAAAAAAAAAAAGGCCTGTAAAACCTAAAAAGGGCACAGCTCACGCCAGTTTTTACAGTATTTTTGAATTAAGGATCGGACACAGCAGTGACACATTTGCTTCACGGCTCAGAAAAAGGAAAAAAAAAATTTATAGCATTCACTACTGAATAAAAAACCGAGTTGCAGGAACCACTATTTACCCCATGAGTATCTACTGTCCGTACATGCAGAGTTGTTAGGATGTGGAAGAAAACCAGGAGGAAGTCTACAAAGAACCGCTGACTTTGAAAAGTAGAATTTACGCTACTTGAGAAAACTTACAGGATCTTCAGAAAACAGACTAAAAATCCACACCACCAGTGATGCACAAGGTACTGGCAGACAAGCACCAACTTTTAAAGTTAACTCGATAGTCTCACAGAAACAGATCTGAAAAAACTAGGAAGTTAGAAGAGAGGTGACAAAATTAGGATGAATATATTAATAAACTAGCATGGGAGCGGGACAAATGTACATACATCATTTGTATGGTTTTGCAGAAGTTGGAAGATGTACACAGTATTGAACACCAATAGCTTGACAAGCTGAACCTCTACTCTGGAAGAAACTTACTATCAGTTGTCTGGAAACCTTTACAGAACTATATGCTTATAAACCAGAGATTAATAACCATGTGCAACTTTAGAAGACTTCTATAAAGTATCTTTAATGACTTTGTTCATGCCATTTTAAAAACAGTAATTTTCAAGAAGAAAAATCAATACATTTGTTGTATTGACTTTGCTTTCCCAGTCCTGTTCCCGTCTTTGCTAATCATTGGGCGTCCACACTACGTGCAGTCTGATGCCTGGGAAGATACTGAAAATTAATCCCAAGTTTCCAGCTTGCTAATTACAGTGCACAGTTATTGCGGACTTCTCCCACCATCCCCCTATCTCAGTACAATAAAAAAATGAGTCTTTCTCTGAAAGCTTCCCAAAATGCCAAAGATGTCGTTAGCAAAGCGTTTCTCTAATCTACATATATGGCCTGTCTAACTTTAGAAATTGATGTGTAGTCATGCAAATGATGGAAGAAAGTCACTGGAAGAGGGCAGCTATCACAATCTAGAGAGCCGTATACCTTTCCCCATTCACCATGGGAATCTTTATTACACTGCTGTCCTTGGTCTTTCCTGAGGAAGAATCTTCATTGCATCCTAGTAAGATTTCTGCAGGCAGGTATAAACGAGAAACATTTTTGTTCTTTTCTCTCATGACCCAAACTGCATTTACTCACCTTTATTAAATGAAGAATCTCTGCAACTGAGCTCGGTAAAGTGGCATTTAACCAGAAATCTTATCTTCATCAAATGCTTTGAGTTCTTCTAAGTAATTGGATCGGGTCTATTTCTGACAAGGCCACACACAGACTCCTTTTAAAGGAAGATGTCATATGATCTCAGCTAGGTAAGTGGATTCTCAAAACACATCCCCATCTCTTAAAACAGACAAGAAAACGGGCATGACAAAATCCATGTTATACAATATGCTGTATATACAAATTGAAAGACTGCATCTCAGTTTTTCCCAGTACTCAGTTTAACAAGATCCAGTAAAACATGGAAGCAAAGCACCAATAGCCATCTTTCCCCAAGTCCTTGAAGAATGTCTCAGCATCTCCTACAGGTCTTCAGGTCTCTAAAGTTTCTTCATTTGCCCCACAAGTGTCTACAACACAGATTAAACAACTTGTCACTGGGAAAGCACGGACTTTGGAGTTGGCTATCCACTTGTCTGTTTCCGTATTATATTCAAGAATATGCCCTAATCGACCAACACCCTGAAAACCAGCCAGGACATAGACTATAGATCCCACAGCAGCACACTTCACTGTTACACCCTTCCATGGCATTGGAGACACCATCTTCCATTCATTCATCTTGATATCGTAATATTCTACATTATCAAGGCCACCTACAAAGCAATAAGATAGATGACTGCTTATTACATTGTACCATATGGGCTGAACTAGCGCATATAAATGCTTCATTAAACTTAGTCTTTATTTTCAAGGTTCAGATTAAAACAGTAAAACAAACAAACAAACAGAAAAAAAGGCCATAGGTTTCTAAACTAATGGTTTACCATTTTATAAATACAGAAACTCGTAAAAAGGCCGAAAGTGAGGTGTAACAAATTATGCATTATATGCTTTCTAGAGATTAACATGTTACTTCATGAACAGAAGAACTAACAATGCTGAATTTTACGGATTGGTGGCTAATGACTAAAACATGGGAATCCACCTGAAACTTTTCTCCAGTGAGGGCATTTCATTCTAGAGGGATCACTGGTACCTTTACCTAAATTTGTCATTTACTGATAAGAGGATGACTCTCCTTCATTATGATACTAAAATCACTGAAGTTTAAAAGCCTAATTCCCTTTGAAAAGGACCAAGGGAATCAGAAGTTATTAGAGAAGAGTAGACCTGGTGACTAAGATTTGCTTGTTTAGGAAGTAGGCTAGTAATTTCACTTCACGGTATCTACAAGCATCCTGTTATCCCTATTTAGCAACTGTAGTAAAACTCACAGTTTTCACTCCCAGTCCTGAATTGTTAGATCTGGGAGATTAAGAAACCTTTATATGATGTTAACAGGTATGAATATTTCACCTCAGACATAACTCTTGCCCATTATATTACAGTAAGAACAATTAATCAGTCAGGCTACAGACTATGACCAGCAAAACAATACTCTTACTCGTTCAATAGAACACACTTCTAAAATAAGCAGTCAGTGAATACACTAACTGTGCAAAATGGCAGCTGTGGCTATAACTGATTGATAAAATGTTTGTGCAAAAAAGGCATCTGCTGATATTTTTGCATTAGAAATCAATCATGCTGGAAAATATTTAGTAGCTAAAATACAAGCTATATTCTAAAACAGCATTAATCTGAAATCAAATATTTCAATTACTGTAAGTAGTTATTAATAAACCTCATAGCTGAGAATTCTCCATTTGGAAAAGCACTTCCGAAACTCTGTGTAATTAAAATTCAATTATCCAGGGAAATAAACTATTATTATTGTAGTTTAAAAGACAAGGAGTTAGGCAGATCATAAACAACCTGCCCATGACAGTAAGTCATATTTCAAAACTAGGGCAGTCAAGAAAGTTCCCGCTTTTACACCATGTTAAAATACCTGACTAGCTCCAAATCTTTAAACTGAAGTTCCAAAAATAGTGGCTACACCTTTACCCATCTCTCAAAAGAATGCTAAAATCCCTCAAAATACATAACAGCTAAAAAATAACTAACCAATATTGTCTTTTCAGGTGACTGGTTTCGCCATTTTAACTACTGCAGAACTGCGCTACAGTATGGGGTGCATATCTGATTTTGACTGTACTGCCATTAGTGAAAGAATCTGAAAAATTAGGTGAAAAAGGAAGGTGAAAGAAGGGAGGCAACAATGATGTGACAATAACAGGACATGTTTTGTGGTACTGCTCAAAGTTCGTCAGCTGAACAGAGCAGAATGAATTCTTTGCAAAAGCAAAAAGGGGCCCCCGTGAAGCCTTGTGTGACCAGCTAGATAATTAATAGAATTCAAGTACCTAAGCCATTTTGTCCACCCACAGCAAATATTTTGTCCTTTACAAACACCAGCCCATGATTTTTCCTGGCTTCAATCATTGGACACAGCTCAGTCCACCTGGGGAAAAAGAAAACCAAACAAACCAGGGAAACTCACTGTTTAGTTCCTAGAAAATAAGTATAAAATAAGTTAACAAAACCTAGCATTAGGAAAATGAAATATGGAAGCAAGCTGCTTAAGAAAAACTACCTTTTAAATAAAACTACAAATAACTGATTCATTACTGCTTAACTTGGGAGAATTACCACATACAATTCTTCCTATTCATCTATATTTCGGTTATTTACACAGCAAGCAAAGTCACGAGCAACCAAAAATAGTCAGAATTGATGCAATACTTACGTTTCAGTGGCTGGATCATAGACTTCACAAGAATTTAGGACTCTTCCAGAAACATTGTTTCCCAAGCTTCCTCCACATACATAAATGAGACCATTCGCCTCGACCATTCCATGGCTGCATCGCTGAGTCAGCATGCTGGGCTTTGTGTGCCAGCTTTCTGTTCTCGTGTCATAGCATTCAAATAAATACAGTGCAGAATTTCCTTAAAAAAATAGAAACCCACCAAAGTCGCATTAATTTTTATGGTTGTCTTTCAAGGGAAGAATCTAACAGTAATTATCAAATTGATGCTTTATTTGTGAGTTGAAAAGGGAAAGCTGCTTTCCCACTTCCAACAGCAGAACTAACCAACTTGAAACTTGGGACTAGTCAGAAAGTACATACTGGTCATTCTTTTGACTCTTGTTACAAAATATGCACGTAAGTTTATAAATTTGCTTTTTACGTTTAAAAAGAAATTATGAGGATTTTTTTTTTTTTTTTAGGTGGGGAATAAGTACTGAATAGAGATATATATAAATTACCAGTCATATTGTCATCATCTCACGCTACTCTCACTACTTGGGAATATATTGAACTTTCATACGTGAAGATGCAACCAGCTTTATAAACTTGGTATAGATTCACATGAGTCTTTTTCCTCTGAGCAATGTGACTTGCCCAATTCCCAAAATACTTGTTACCTTTGGAATTAGATCGCTTGATTATGTTATAACATACTCCTGAATTATCGGCAACCACAAGACAGCTACCCCTCACTGGTTTACTTTCTTCCTGGGGACTAGCAAATACTCATTATCTGGAAGTGCAAGGTCCCTCAAGGGCCAATAAAACTATTACTGAAATCAAAAGCAATTTTTCTAGTGAAGATAGATGGGAGCTTAAAGACTTGTGCTCAGGTAACTAGCTGAACCATAGCCAAAGCAGAGAAGGCTGGATAC